ATTAATAAAGAAAAAAAGAAAAACTACATGATGATAGGTGCATACAAAGCATTTAACAAAATTCAACATCCAACGTGATAAAAATTATCAGCAAAGGAGGGAATGAAAGAGAACTTCTTTAACCTGATACAGGTGCCTACTAAAACCCTAATTTAGTCATTATATTAGTGGTGGAAAACTGCAAGATTTCCCCCTAAGATCAGGAACAAAGCAAGAAAGGTTCATTGTTGTCATTCCTATTTACCATTATACTGAAATCCTTGCCAGCACAAATAAGCAAGGTGGGAAGGGGGAAGAAAGGCATACAGTTGAAAATGAAAAAATATTAATGTCTCTATTTCAGATGACATAATTGGCTATGCAGAAAATCCCAAGGAATATGCAAAAGTAATCTACACCTACAGTGACTTTAGCAAATACACTGGTACAATGTTTATATTTTAAAAATCAACTGCATTTCTATAAACTAGTAGGAATGAGGTTTTTTTAAAAAAGATACCATTTTCAATAGCACCAATAAACAAAAACAAAAAAAACCTGGCAACACTTGCATGCTGAAAGTGACAAAATGATAAAAAAAGAAATCATAAAAGGCCTACATATTGAGAGATAAACCATATTCATGGAATAATGGAATAAAAGACTCAGTATATTAAGACATTAATTTTTCCCAAATTGATCTATAGATTCAATATAATGGCAATCAAAATCCCAGCAGAGTTTTATGTAGGTACTAGCAACTTGATTCTAACACGTATATGAAAAGGCAAAGGAAATAGAAAAGCTAAACATCATTTTCAAAAACAAGGATGAAGGACTTACACTACTTATTTCAAGACTTACTACAAAGCTACAAATCAAGATAACATGGTATAAGTAAAAGAAGAGATACGACTGGGCGTGGTGGCTCACGCCTATAATCCTAGCACTTTAGGAGGTTGAGGAGGGTGGATCATGAGGTCAGGAGTTTGAGAACAGCCTGACCAACATGGTAAAACCCCGTCTCTTCTAAAAATACAAAAATTAGCCAGGTGTGGTGGCATACGCCTGTAATCCCAAGTACTCAGGAGGCTGAAGCAGGAGAATCGCTTGAACCCAGGAAGTGGAGGTTGTGGTGAGCCGAGATGAGGCCATTGCACTCCAGCCTGGGAATGAGAGCTAGACTCTGTCTCAAAAAATATAAAGAGCAGAACAGAGCTACACAGATCAATGTAGGGTCTAACAACAGGCCATATTCATCCCTTTATCAGAAATGGACAGATCCAACAATCAGAAAATCAGTTAAGGGAACAGCTAAACTCAATGGTACCATCAAACAACTGGATATAATTGACATCTACAGATTATTTTTATTCAGTAACAGTAGAATACTCATTATTCTCAGGCTTACATGGAACCTTTACAAACCACATTCTGGGTCATAAAACATATCTTAACAAATTTAAAAGACTGGAGATCATACACTGTATCTGTTAGATCACAGTGGACTTAAACTAAAAATCAGTAATAGAAAAACAGCTGAAAAAATCCCAAAATACTAAGTAATGCATAGATCAAAAAAGGAATCTTGGGAAATTTAAACATTGTGAGCTAAGTGAAAATAAAAATACAATTTATCAAGATGTGTGAGATGAATCAAAGCACTACATAAAGGGAAATTCATAGTACTGAATGCATATATTAGAAGAACTAAAATCAATAATGTAAGCTTCTACTTTAGAAAACTAGAAGAATAAGAGCACGTTAAATTTAAGTAAGCAGAAAAAAAAAAAAAACTAGAGCATAAAACGATGAATGAAAACAGGAAACCATATGAGAAAAAATGAAACGAAAGTCAGTCATTTGAAAAGATCAGTAACATCAATAAGCCTCAATGCAATCCTGATCAAAACCTCAAACAATGTTTTACAAGGAATAGAAAAAACAATATACCTTAAAATTCATATAGAATCTCAAGAAATCCCAAATACCTGAAACAATCTTGAAAAAGAACAAAGATGGAGGACTTAAAATTCCTGATTTCAAAACAGGCTTACAGTGTGGTACTGACATATAAACCAAAAGAAGGGCAGAGAAAGACTAAAGATAAACTCTTGGATATATGGTCAAATAATTTTTGACAAGGATGCCAGGCCATCCAACAGGGGAAAAACAGTCTTTTCAACAAGTGATATTAGAAAAACTAAATATCCATAGGTAAAAGAATAAAGATGGATCCTTAACATATTACAAAAAGTAACTCAAAATGGATCAAAGACATAAATATAGGACCTAAAACTATAAAAACTCTTAAAAAACAAACATTAAAAAATTAAAAACTCTTAGAAGAAACCTTAGGGGAAAACCTTCATGACACTGGATTTGGCAATGATTTCTTGGATATGACACCAAAGGCACAGACAACACAAGAAAAAATAAACTGACAAACTGGACTTCTTCAAAATAAAAAAAAAATTGTACATCAAAGAACACTATAAAAAATTAAAATAAATATATTCATTGTAACATGTTGCTCTAATTTAGAAATTTAAGAACAATTTTTCTTTGTTGCTCTTTCTTCTCTCTTTTCCTCTCTCTTCCTTTTCTCACCTCCCTTCCTCCCTCTCTCTCCCTCTCTGCTCCACCCCCTCCCTCCCTCTCTCTTTCTTTTTTGAGATGGGGTCTTGCTCTGTCATCCATGGTGGAGTACAATGTGGCACAATCATCACACACTGTAACCTTGAATTCTGGGGCTCAAGAGATCCTGCCCCAGTCTCTCCGGCAGCTGGGATTACACGCGTACAACACCACGCCCAGGTAATTTTTTTTTTGAGACGGAGTTTCGCTCTTGTTACCCAGGCTGGAGTGCAACGGCGCCATCTCGGCTCACCGCAACCTCTGCCTCCTGGATTCAGGCAATTCTCCTGCCTCAGCCTCCTGAGTAGCTGGGATTACAGGCACGCGCCACCATGCCCAGCTAATTTTTTGTATTTTTAGTAGAGACGGGGTTTCACCATGTCGACCAGGATGGTCTCGATCTCTTGACCTCGTGATCCACCCGCCTCGGCCTCCCAAAGTGCTGGGATTACAGGCATGAGCCACCGCGCCCGGCCAATTTTTTAAATTATTTGTAGAGACAGGGTCTTGTGCAGGCTGATCTCAAACTTCTGACCTCAAATCATCCTTCTGCCTCAGCCTCCAAAATTGCTGGGATTACAAGTGTGAGTCACCATGCCCAGCTGACAATTTCTTAAAACAAAAAAAGGTATTCCATTCTATATCCAGTATGGATAAACAACTTGCTACTCTATGACCCAAAACTTTTTAGGGGCAGTCCAGTCATGTTTGTTTCCTTTTTTACAGAATACAGCATGGTCTATTATTTCATTTATTTTATGTATTAAAAAGGCCAAAGGGAAAGGTATAACATGATGCGAAATAAAGCCTCCAATACTAGAGCTATCCTTGCCTATCAATAGTCTGAAGGTTACATGCAGAAAAGAAAAAAAACACAAATAAATTAAGAGTAGTAACTCTAAAATAAAATAAATCTGTTAACATAGTTTTATACATGTAATGGTGAGAAAAACCAGACCAAAACAGCACACTAAGGAAAAACAGAAGAGTGAATAGTAAAGATGGATATACAAGAAAGAGCAAAGAAAGGTCAATTAAATTGGAAAGTGATGTAGAATTATGCCTTGATATACGATGAACTTCATTAAGAGATTCTAGTATACAATAGAAATTTAATAAATACAATGCAGCATATAGAGATTTCTAAATATTTTAAGGAAAAAAGTAGCTCATTTGGTGGTGTATCTAAAGGACTTGGTTATAAGGCAGTAAAAATTCTAAATGGCTCCAAGTGGAATGAATCTAAAAACATCCATTAGATTGAGGATGTAGTATATTCATTTTTCTTTCACTCAAAAAGAGAAATCAATTTCTCTGCTTGGATTTTTTTTTTCTTTTTGAGACAGAGTCTCACTCTGTAGTCCAGGCTGGAGTGCAGTGTTGCAATCTGTACTCACTACAGCCTCCACCTCCTGGTTTCAAACAAGTGTCATGTTTCAGCCACCCTAATAGCTAGGATCACAGGTGTGCACCACCGTACCTGGCTAATTTTTGTATTTTTAATAGAAAGGGGTTTCACCATGTTGGCCAGGCTGTTCTCAAACTTCTAGCCTCAAGTGATCCACCAACCTCAACCTCCCAAAGTGCTGGGATTACAAGTGTGAGCCACTGCACCCAGCCCCTGCTTGGATTTTTTAAAAAAATAATCAGTAGGCCGGGCACGGTGGCTCACACCTATAATTCCAGCACTTTGGGAGGCTGAGGCAGGTGGATCACTGGAGATCAGGAGTTTGATACCAGCCTGGCCAACATGATGAAACCCTGCCTCTACTAAAAATTAAAAAAAAAAAAAAAGAGCCAGGTATGGTGGCACACACCTGTAATCTCAGCTACTTGAAAGGCTGAAGCAGGAGAATCGTCTGAACCTGGGAGGTGGAGGTTGCAGTGAGCTGAGACTGGCGCCACTGCATTCCAGCCTGGGTGACGGAGCAAAACTCCATCTGGGGAGGAGGCGGGTAGGTGGCTCACACCTGTAATCCCAGCATTTTGAGAGGCTGAGGTGGGCACATCACTTGAGGTCAGGAGTTTGAGACCAGCCTGACTAATGTGGTGAAACCCTGTCTCTAACAAAAATATAAAAAATTAGCCAGGCTTGGTGGTGTGCACCTGTAATCCCAGCTACTCAGGAGGCAGAGAATTGCTTGAACCCGGGAGGCGGAGGTTGCAGTGAGCCATGATCGTGACACTATACTCTAGCCTGGATGACACAGTGAGGCTCCATCTCAAAAAATAAAACAAAACAATAATAACAACGATAATAATAATCAGTTATCATAAAAGACTGCCATGAGTTTCAGTAAATGTTCGTATTTCTGCCAATGAAAGGAATTAAGGTTAGGAGGGCCAGGGGGAAGGGGGTGGTGAGAAAGAGATTCAAATAGTACCTTTTGCATCATCAGAACCTGAAGCCAAGAGTTTTGGATCCATCAAATTGAAGTCAACACTCCAACACCTCTTCTCATGCTCCTGGAAACAGAAAGAAGACACAGTAGCCTCAGACAGAATAGAGATATCAAAATGAATAAAGCAAGAAAAAAAAAAAAGAAAAACTGATACCAATTTATTGTTATGGGGAGAGGAAAAGAAAATAGGTTAGAGAACAAATGAAAAGCAAGTAAGATGTTGATACAAAGTACTTTCAAAACTTTTTATATGTATACATTTACTAAAATTATTGCTTTTAGAAATATATTTGATACATTCTATAAAGACTAAAGTCTTGGGAAATGCTTTGGAAAAGTATTTGGTACCAAAAAAGGGAGACGGGAAAAAAAAAAGTATTTGGTATTGCATAGGTGTTATACTAGTAAAAAAAACCAAAAAACTAAAGAGTGACTTCGTATCTGTAATTCTAAAGCACATGAAATTCTAAAAGTTTTAACAAAATAAATATATGATCCATACAACATGTAACTACTACTCTTATTTACCTGATAGACCTTTGACCTCTGTCCAGTGAATCCATCCCATAAAATAACAGTGCCTTCATAATCACTGCTAGCTAACAGGTTCTTATGGTAACTACTCCAACTGATACAGCTGAAAGAAATATAGTTAAAAGTTACTTTACATAAAAATAAATAACAATGGGATAAAAACAATTTCAATGTGTTCAGAAAGATTTGCACTATTTAAAAATGGTCTATATCAGTTGACAATCATTACTCTGTCCAAAACATACCTGGGAAAAGACAGCAATAATTTTGAAATTTTAAAAATTGAAATGAACAAGTAATGACCCTAACCACTTTTTACTGTGATCATTAGCTGTAAGATGGGTGAGTCTGGAGCCACCACTGGCCATCTTTGATACATGAGGAAAGCATACCGATCAGTGAAGGTGATACTGTCCAGAGGGCTCAAGGTATACCCTGGCAGAATGACAGACCCGATGAGACTGTTTAAGACCCTATATCCATCTGTCCATTGAAAAAGTATAAAATTTTAAATTAAAAAAAAACAAAAACCCTGTATCCAGTTTTGACAAACCATATAAGCCAAATAAACTATAGTGAATTGGGTTTCTGTATTTACATCCAAACAGTCTTGACTTGACTAATTATAACTTATGAGTAATATTCCAATTAAAAACATCTAAAAGAATCAAACGTTTATCATTTATGGTTTTGGCTATTCTCAAGTGCTCCAAAAGTCTACAACATATAAAAATATATACTTCTGTTGAGATACATATCTGCATCATGAATATAGTAAAGGAGGGAATATTATGCAAGAAGCTACTTATAAAGCAGTTAATGTAAATTACTTCTTAGACATGAACACAAGGGTCTTTTGCTTTCTACTAGTTGCATTCATGCTAAATTTCAGAGACTGGAAGAGTCCATTTGCATTTTTAAATATATTTAATTAGAATTTCTGGTAGAAACTATATAGAACAGTTAAGAGCCACATATTGAATGTAGGTAGACTTGAGTTCAAATTCCAGATTTGTTACTTACTAGCTGTGGCTCTGGCTAATTTAGTTCACTTTCGCAGTAGATGTGCTCCAAATCTATTTTAGACATGCTTAGGTATTGATCCTTTTAGCCCCAGGCCCACAACTTTCAGCCTTGAGCGCTTTCACCATTTATTCCAATGTACCAGGAAGTATTGCAGATTTTTACATGTATAATTACAGAACACGTAGGTTGAACATTTAAATGTTCTAATCCACATTTTCATTATGTATCATAAATACTTGCTATGGGCCAAGTATTATTCTGAGTGCATTACGGGGATTTTTTAAAGGTACAATCCTATTAAATAGGTATTACTATCATGGCCTCCATTTTATTTTATTTTATTTTATTTTATTTTATTTTATTTTATTTTTTATTTTTTATTTTTTTGAGACGGAGTTTCGCTCTTGTTACCCAGGCCAGAGTGCAATGGCGCGATCTCGGCTCACCGCAACCTCTGCCTCCTGGGTTCAGGCAATTCTCCTGCCTCAGCCTCCTGAGTAGCTGGGATTACAGGCACGCGCCACCATGCCCAGCTAATTTTTTGTATTTTTAGTAGAGACGGGGTTTCACCATGTTGACCAGGATGGTCTCGATCTCCTGACCTCGTGATCCACCCGCCTCGGCCTCCCATGGCCTCCATTTTATAAATAAGCAGCATGAAATGTTTAAGGGCACAGACTCTAGAAACAAACTACTTCAGTCTGAATCCTGGCTCCTCTATATGCCAGCTGTATAATCTTATGCAGGTTATTAAATACCTTTCTGTGCTCAGCTTTCTTTGTATGAAATGGGGCAATAATGGTAAGTTTCTCATAGGTCTGCTAAAGACAAAGCACTTAGGATATAATGCCTGATATCTAAGAATTCAATAAAGTTGTATCTAATTCATGTTATATCCTCTTCACTTAGGACATAAACTACAATAGGTTCTCAACGGATGAGTGCCACTAATGAATGGGCAAGCTCACCAATTATCAAGATAGTATTTTTATAAATGAACTAGAAAAAAGAAAACTAAAACAAATTAATTATACAAAGATTATAACAAACATACTATGTATGTCATTTAAAAAGATAAGAAAGGTTCAAGGATGGCTATTTTGAAAATGTTCAAAGTTACATACAAAGTTTTTATTAGATAATTTCCTCATAAAGCCAATGCTCATGAGAACAGCTTGGGAAGCTTGTTTAGAAAACAAACAAAAAAGCAGATTCTAGGATTCTTCTGAGATTTTTTGGGGAGCAGATCAAGCAGAACCTGTAAACATTAACAGTATTTTAAGTCTGAAAAGCACTGCTTATGAAGTATAATCTCTAAAACATAAAACATAAACACCATTCCTTCAGTGAAAAGCAGAATGTTCTTATAAAAAATTATTAAAACTAGAAACCAGTCTAATATGTTGAGATATGTCCATGCTAGGGGAAAAATTCCTGGTGTTTTTATATTAAGCTACATTAATCCTTATTCAATACCGACAATCATCTGCAATGAAGATCTTTATTTGATTAAGTGAAAGAAGAGCTTTCATTTGGCAACTAAAAAAAAAAAAAAAAAAAAAAAAAAAAAAAAGGCTAACCCCATAAGAAAAAAGCAAGCAATATCTGCAAGAAAGATGATCTAAATAATAATATATACTCTGTGTACACAGTACAAATAGTGTTCACCATGAATGAGTAAGAAGTGTCATGGAGCTGAGGGCACGGTAGCTCACGCCTGTATCCCAGCACTTTGGGAGGCTGAGGCCAATAGATCATGAGGACAGGAGTTCAAGACCAGCCTGGTCAATATAGTGAAACCCCGTCTCTACTAAAAATACAAAAAAATTAGCCAGGCATAGTGGTGGGAGCCGGTAATCCCAGCTACTCTGGAAGTGGAGGCAGAGAATCACTTGAACCCGGGAGGCAGAGGTTGCAGTGAGCCAAGATTGCACCACTACACTCCAGCCTGGGCGAGAGAGCGAGACTCCATCTCGGAAAAAAAAGAAAAAAAAAGTGTGATAGCAAGGTAAAATAATCTCGTGATAATTACATATGCAAATTGTTACATATATACTGTATCATGAGAGGAAAATAATATAAATACCTGATTTTGGAATTGCAGGTCATTTCATTTTCAGGGTAATGAATATCCACTGCATCCTGGATGACGGTGCCATATTCATAAACTTTAATCTTCTTTGTAACCCCAGCAATCGCAAAATAGTCACAATCCCGGTCAAATTCAATACTAAGGGGAAAAAGTACACGCCTTGCTCAATAAGACTATTTACTTGTCCATGTGACATTTATAAAGACAACATTTCAGAATTTACTATTTTCTAGTTCTAAAGTAATTCTCTCTACAAGGATAAGAGATCTACTTTAAATGCCTTCAAGTTGTACTAGGCCTCATATCCAGATGAAGTCATCAACACATATCAAATTAAAAGTGTCTGAGATTTGTGTATATCTACACAATTGTGCACAGGTGTACTTTTGTTCCTACAAACCTGACATACTTTTCATTCAGCTCTAATAACCATATCACAGCTTAGTGAAAAAGATTTAATGGCATGAATTATTTGATATACCAGAAGTATGCCAAAAGATAATTATCAACTCATTTTTCATACATTCTAGTTATTTCCCTGCCATTTTGTGGAAATGGTAAAATTTCACAATATTCAACTTCAAAAAAAATATATTAGTATATAAGTTGAATTACTGAAGCAACTGGGTGATGACAAGAGAGAATACATATAACTGAACCACTAAATTATCATTACTTTTTCCCAAATCCATACCTAATTCCCTCCCCAAATATCTCTCTGAATTATAAAACCCCAATGCATACTCCTTATACCACCAAAGAGGTTAAAAAATAATAAAACTTCTCCCTTCCTTTAGCATTACTTATAAAATTCACCCCCTCTTGCTGATCATTTTTATATAGGCTCCAAAGTAAGCTAAATGAAAGCAAGTACAAGATCATTGCTCTCATAGAACTGAACTTGGAGCCTAAACAAAGTTGTTGTTATACAGCCAGCTGGAAATCTAATTAGCCCAATGGTAGTAAAAGTTGAAATGAATCATCACATACATTATTCCTCAATATTATTTAAGCCTCTTTTCTAGAGGTTTAGCCATAAGAATTCTCATTGATCTAAAATTAATTACATAATAATACCTAATATTCATTAATCATTCACTACTAAAACATTTTGCATGTATTAACTCATTTAGCTCTCATAACAATCCTGTGATATATGTATTATTATTATCTACATTACACAGACGGGAAAATGAGGATTAGAGGTGAGGTAAACTGCCCAAAGTTAGTCACTTTGTAAGTGGCTGAGATGGTATTGAAACACAAGGTAATCTGGTTTCAGTGTTGGTGCTGATAATTACCATGCTTCATCACAGATCAAAGCTCTTATGCAAAACTCAAAGTGTAGGCTGGGCACGGTGGCTCATGCCTATAACCCCAGCACTTTGGGAGGCCAAGGTAGACAGAACACGAGGTCAGGAGTTCAAGACCAGCCTGGCCAACATGGTGAAATCCTGTCTCTACTAAAAATACAAAAATTAGCTGGGCGTGGTGGCATGTGCCAGTAATCCCAGCTACTCAGGAGGCCGAGGCAGGAGAACTGGAGCTGGGACCCAGGAGGCGGAGGTTGCAGTGAGCTGAGATCACACCAGGGCACCCCAGCCTGGGCTACAGAGCAAGACTCCATCTCAGAAAACAAAAAACAAAAAACAAAAAAACCCCTCAAAATGTAAAGGTTAAAGGTTTAAAATCTAATACGTATGAATGTGTCTTCATGTGTTTCTTCTCTCAAATGCCTCGTTAATGCTCTGCATATGTTAAGTATTCAATTAATGCATAAAAATATAAACACCTACATACAAAAAATACAAACATCCATTTTCTTAATGGATTACATGTGATTTCCATTCACAGAACAGTTAATGATTAATGATTTATTATTCAGAAGCTTGCTGAACCAATGATGGTGAGTAAGAAAAAGACACATTAAGAACATTTCAGGCTGGGCTAGGTAGCTCATGCCTGCAATCCCAGTATTTTGGGAGGCTGAGGTGGGAGAATCCCTTGAGCCCAGACGTTTAAGACCAGCCTGAGGAACATAGTGAGACCCCATTGCTCCACCAAAAAAAAAAAAAAAAGAGAAGAAAAGAAAAAATTAGCCAGGCATGGCGATGTGTTCTTGCAGTCCCCAGAGACTTGAGAGTCTGAAGCAGGAGGACTGCTTGAGCCCAGGAATTTGAGGCTATAGTAAGCCATGACTGTGCCACTACACTCCAGCCTGGGTAATAGAGTGAGAACCTGTCTTAAAAACTACAACAACAACAACAAACAATATTACCCTTAAAGACACACACCAAGATGCCCACTTTTCATTACAGCTTTAAACTCTTCCTTAATTTTATATAATTTTTTAAAAAAAATTGACTGGGCACAGTGGCTCACATCTGTAATCCCTGCACTTTGGGAGGCTGAGGTGGGCAGACCATGAGGTCAAGGATCGAAACCATCCTGGCCAACATGGTGAAACCCCGTCTCTACTAAAAATACAAAAATTAGCTGTGTGTGGTGGCGCATGCCTGTAGTCCCAGTTACTCTAGAGGCTGAGGCAGGAGAATCACTTGAACCTGGGAGGCGGAGGTTGCAGTGAGCAGAGATCGTGCCACTGCACTCCAGCACTCCAGCTTGGTGACAGAGTGAGACTCCATCTCAAAAAAAAAAAAAAAAAAAAAATTAAAAAAAATTTTTTTTTTCAGAGATGGGGTCTCACTATACTGCCCAGGCTGGTCTTGAACTCCTGGGCTCTAGCGATCCTGTCACCTCAGCCTCCCAAAGTGCTGGGAGTACAGATTTCAGGCATAAGCCATAGTGTGCAGCCAATTTTTTAAAGAATTTTATTCAGTTAAGTGTCACTGACTGGAGCACAATTCAGCAAATGTTCTCTGCAGTAAAGTATGATACTACAGCAATGAGACAGATTTATTTGTACAACCTCAATTGAACTGCTGCCTCAGGTACTATTTGCTGCCATGTGGATTTTAATGCACCATAACTATAACAATGGCAACTATTCATCCATCCCAACTCAATTTATACCCTTTGTCTCATGTCACTGAAGGAGAAATATTACTTTATCTGGTAAAGGACAGAGTTATTTTCAAAACTGAAATCCTGTTTTTAACTTAGGAGGTTTTGCTATAGATGAGACTTCAAGTGAACCAGTTACATTATCACTAAATACTTTTTTTCCACCAACATATAAACATAGCTAATAAATCAATACCATTCCAATGTTGTGCCAGTAAAAGTATGCCATTACTAAACTATTAGTTTTAACATATATAATACGTTTAAACGCTAACCTATCAAAATAATAAGCTTAAATTCATTTCAGGGAGAAAACTGACGCATAAGTAAAAATGCTCTCGAAAGAATTAATACAATGACCTAAATAAGTCTATTATTTCTTCTGCTGGTACCGTGTTATTCAAGACAGCTCTTTTTGTTCAACACATTATTATTTGGTGACATTAGCTCACTCCTAATTCTCATACTAAAAAGTTAACTTTTTATTTTGATTTCACTGCTATTATTTTCTTACATATTGGTTATATTTTGTTTTTAATATACTAAGGTATCAAGAACCTGTAGAGTGTGTTTTTAAAAATATTTCAGGGTTAAAAAGGTCCTTTTATAGTGTAAAAATAGATTTTAATAGAAATATTAATTAAAAGTATAAAGAATAGTATTATTTTGAAAAAAATTTTGATTACAGGGGAAAGAAAAACAGGTTCCCTGCCCTCCCCCCACCTTTTTAAATGGAAGTACTTCCACATTACTGAAACTCAGGATTTAAGTACTTCAGATACTGAAACATTTGCTCCCTCTCTCTGACATATTTAATCATACATATTCTCAAACATGAACATTATGAGATTCTAAAAACAGATCATGAACTGACTCAAATCAATACCTGTACTTTTCAGGTGCAGAGAGCTTTATAGAGCTAATACAAAACAGATGATCTTTTATACAACACTATGATATTCAACTACTTTTATTATGAAATCTGATAACCCAAGCAAAAATACTTCCAAAGTTAAACAGTAACTACTTAGTCTGAGACTAAATAAAAGGTAAATTACTTGAAATGATGCTTATGCAATTAAATTCAAAAACAAATTTTAAGTCTTACTACTGTTACACAACATTCATTTCTGCCATCCACTGTCAGCAGTAATTATTAAAACGAGATTTATGAAAATTTACTGCAATGACAAATTCAATTTCACAGAATTTGTTTTTAATTTCAAAATATACAAGTATACTTTTGAAAAATAGTGTTTCTGGGGATATAAATTGCATTTTTCTTTCACACTTTGAAATATTTCAAGTGTTAAAAGAAAGTGATTTATTTTAACAGCTGAAATACGTAATTCAGCTGTAGGAAACTAGCTGTATTCTTTGTCAAAAAGGTCATTAGTCAAGTGATTAAGTAGCATGGCAAGAAACCGCACAGGACAGCTGATTAACACATACCTCCAGTACAATGTGGCAGGAAGCAATGAAAGCTGTCAACAAGCCCAAGCACAGAATTTTGTCAGTGTTTCCACTGTCCGTCATATCTTTTTGCAATTATAAGTATTAACAACCATGGTGGATTAGTGTTCCTGGATGCCAGAGCCCAATTTATCAAATTAAAATATAAAGTAAGAGTGGTTGTCAAAGGTCTTACTCTCATTCATTATCGTGATAATGTGCTTGGAGAGCAGGTAACTATAACTTCAAAGAAACAAAATGTAAGTTTAGAAATTGGCCATTTTAATGAAAACTGATGAGCAGATCTCTAAAAAATACAAACACAGGTAAAGTAAATTAAGAATGGATGTTACTCAGCTTTCTTCCAGATCAACACTACTACTTAAAACTTCCATAACATACATAACACTTAAGATGTGTCAAGCATTGTTTTAACCACTTTACCTAAATTGTTCAAGTTTCAAATCTCCACTGTGTAAAGAAACTGAGGTGTATTAATGTTAAGTAATGTGTCCAAGGATATACCAGATAACTCAAATTTAAGTAATTGGTTCCAAAGTCTATGCTCTCAATCATCATGCAAACTTGCAATTTCAATTAGAATAAATGAGCTGGTCTTCAAATAACATATACACAGGCAAAATAAGAAAAATAACACAGAA